TTTTTTTTTTTTTTGCTTTAGCATTACACGCTCAGACAAGGACAGAAAAATAAGATTGCTTTAGGGCTCACATGCCAAATTTTGAAGCACTTACTGAATCACAGGAGTTCTGGAAACTCCGGTCATTCGAACCCTCTACAGTTACGTATTGAAATCTGATGACGGTTGCAGGTGGAAGAAGAAGAGGAGGCTAAATTGCCGGATAAGCATTTCACATTTGCTGAACAACATGAAGTATTTTATATGATTTTATTAAATTTCCTTCAACACAAGTACCACGCTAGTACACAGCACACTTCTGGTATTCAAATATTCACGTATATGCGTTTCGAGTCAACTGCATTGTTCCAATTTGACCGTTTTCACAACTGCGATATATTCCAGCTTCACATTACGGGGCTCCGTAATTTTGGTCTAGAAAATGACTTAATTCCTGAAAATTAGCGCTCTTGCAAACAAATGAGGGTCTGTAACTCTGTCGGAAACCGCTGCTGATATACACATTTCGAGTCGGAAAGGGCTTCAGTTAAAGTACCAAAGCCAACAATGCCAGGGCGCTGCAACGTTAATTTAAAAAGACAGATTACGCGATCAAATTTTAGCTTTGCCGAAGGCTCACTTAAGTGATTTGGACAATCTTCATAAACTTAGTATTCATTAAAGATCTCAAATAGGCTGATATTTCCGTTGTAAGAACCACTGAGCTGGCAATCCCTTCATGAGAAGAAATTAATATCGGGTCCCTAGCAACCTGACCACCAACCAGTACTGTCGCAGAAGACCCGCAAAAAGCCGGCAACTGATGAAAGAGTGCAGTAGTTCAACACACTGCTTCCGGCTGTGAGGACGATTGGTTCGATTCTTTCCTGGTCTGTAACCATTCTCAAAAATTGACTCCATCTACGAGAGGTGCAGTGTTGGCCACAAAAAACGGAAAAGTTGTCATTCACATAGTTGAGGAACCGTGCTGTGAATTTCAGTTGATATCCTAAGTAATACAGTTGGAAAAAGAATTCGTGCTATGAGAATTCTAAGTATTATTGCAGGTGTTCGACATTGGGCCTGATGTAGAGATTATCGGCTAAGCAGTACAATCATTCAGCCATTGCAGCAGCAACGAATTCTTTCTGTGGAAAATTTTTCATCAGTTCTGAATAAAACGTTAAAAAAAGGATGAATCTGATAAATAAATAGTATTTCCAGTGCCGCTTCACCTACAGTCATATAGAATTTCGCATGTTCGAAACGTTGATCGAAAGAGCGTGCTTTTTCTGTTCCTCCTCGACAGTCCGTTTTCTCGAATCAATTTTTTGCGGAAAAAGTGAAAGAGTTTTATTCTTTCAGCCTTTCACGTTTATCAAAACAACACTTTTCATGACTGCTTCAAAATGCATAGCTTTACAAGCCAACCTCGCGCTAGCAAGCTGGACATTTTGAAGACAGGTAATGTAGAGCTCAATCATGCGTGCTTCATTTAATTGGTAATTAATTACGCTTACAAGGAAAAATTTAGCGATGGTCCAACAAGCCACAGAACAACGCAAGATAGGTACCGGCAAGTTGCAGCACATTTTCAGTGAAGTACTGCAATTTCGGCAGATGTTAACAAGGAAACGTACGCTAGGAAGAAGAGCTGGGCTGGTGTTGCGGCAGAAATGCAGGGCAAAAAATGACAGAGAAAGTTAACGATTAGCACCAGTGAAATGTTAAAAAAAACTGCCAATATGAGGGAACCTAAACGAAATTATGTGGACAAGATGGAGTTCAAAACGCGGAGGAATTGAGGAGTTGCCAGCTCCATTAGTGGCGAGAAGAAACACGGCAATCAGATGAAACCTGTTTGGAGTATCAAAATATGCAAATTTTTTTTTAGTTTTAAAAGAAATGTGATTCTACGAACAACTCATAGCGCAATAAACACTTTGTACCGAGCAGCAGGTTCTGGTAAAACTTAGGGGCAGACCTTTAATACTCTTTCTGCCTTTCGCTGTTTATACTTTCTAAGCAATTTTTGGACAGCCTTGCCAACATGAGGTTGCTGTTGGCACCTGCAACCATTTGGGCTAATTTTCTCCGTTAATTTGTTGATGGCAAATTGCAGCTGGGGTGATTGGGTTTGCATCTGTTAACTGTGGCCAGTATTTCGAAGGAGTGGTGTCAAAATAACTAGCAGAAAAATAAATTAATGCGACTTTACGTAGATATTTTACCGCACCTTCAGACCGAATTAAAAAATTAACACATTCAGAAATAGCTGTGATTGGCACTTTGATTCTGGGCTGTAAAGCTCCAATTGGTACCCATGGTCCGTCCAACGTATGTACACTACCCCTTAAGTGGCAATTTACCTGATGCAAGTATCATTCATCAATACGAGGCTTATGCAAAAATACATATGTTTTAGCCTGTCTGTACATTACAGGCGCTGAAAATATGGCTGATACAATACAGACAAAAGAAGGCGCCATAGCACTTGGCACGGACGTTCGGTCCTCAACGAGATCAACACGCCGAGCAAAAGGCAAGAATTGTCCAACGCCACACGCTCTCGCAGCTCGCGTAATAATTTATTTATCAATTACCGTTGAATATGTCGCGCAAAAGAATGTGGTAGCATTGCCCAGATCTGAACCGAGAGCCCCAGTGAACACTGGAAAGCTGCAATCCGTTTGTTTCAGGATACCCCGAACTAGACGTGACCACGTACATTTCTCCCATTCCTGTCGTAAGAATCAGATGCTGGGCTGTTAAAAAGTCAAAAAGAAAAAAAAAAAAATGTTCTGAAAGAGGACATGAAATTTATGTACGATGGAGACTAGATCTAGTTCCAAAAAAATACCGTCAACAGCTTTTGCAAATTTTGCTTAAAGCCATCTCCAAAATATGGCATTGATGGAATGAAGAGAAAAATCGAGAACTGGGAGAAAAATGAGGGCCAAGATGAAACGTACAAGATTTGCCGGTGCGTAGCTTCCTAGCTTTTCTGGTCCCCGAGTTAGCAATTTTCCCGTCAAACGTTCTGTGGCAGACGCTCACCTGTCACGAGGACGTTCCGAGTATTACTTCCAGCACTGGTTCTCAGTGTATTGGTGGCTCAGTGGTATATGTAGAGTTCTGGGAGTGTCATAAACATCAACTGTGCTTGTCTCCGGGTTCAGTTCCTGACAGTGACCCACACGATACAGGTGGCGTGGTGGAAAAATGTGTCTACTATACTGGCGACTCGGGTCCCTGCCGCATTGCACGATGGCACAAAATCTTTCCATGACATTTACGTGCCGGGTTCAGGTCCTGCCCGAAGCTCGTCAGCGGTCCAGCGACAGAATGCCTGTCTACTGTGATGAAGACTTGGGTTCAAACCCTGCCATCATTTTGCACTACATCGGCGGACCAGCGACAGCGTGCCGGTTTACCACGTTCCTGGTTGACTCCTAACACTGGCTCACGCTCTGAAGGGAGCGTGGTGGGGGATGACCGCCTGCTACACTGGCAACCCAAGTTCGATCCCGGCCATTGCCACACTGCACGAGTAAAAAGCCCTTCTGCAGGGCTAACGTCCCAGGTCATCCTTGAAACAGAGCATACGATGAATCGGAAAGAAAAGAGAAGGCAAAAGGAGTTAGCAGTGGTATCTCAGATCTAAACAACTTCTTACCTAATCTAAGAAAATCATTAACTCAGGTGAACATTTGTAAGCGTGATGAAATTTAGCTGCGAGCCGGGGGCAGAACACTTGCTGAAGGGATTTCCGACGTCTACGAACAATTCATCAAAGATTCGCCAACTTTCTTCGCCTTTTTCGACCCCGAAAACAAAGCGAAGAATAAATATCCAAATGGTACTTACTCTGACACTTCGATCAGCTGCAGTTTGTTACTTGCTTTTTTGATTGAACAGATGATAACTTCACCAGTTAGTCCAACAGCTGTGTATCATCCAGATGGTGAAAGTCGACTAAAATAGCATTCAGATATTCAAACGGTTAACTGAACTGTTTTCTGTATCATATGTGAGCAAAAATTAGGCGATCGAAAGTTGTAATTACAAAGTTATTGATCAGATTCGCAAGATCTCTAATCCAAAATGAAACTGTCAATTTTTATTCGTCTTTTTTGCCAAATCCAAAAAAACACAAATTTAAATATAAAAAAGCTAGTGCAGATTCTGTCCAGTACATGTGACATAGATAAGAAAAGTGGAAATGGACAAAGTGGTTACTGAATGATAATGCTAAGGAAGCACGTGGAAAACGAAAAAAGCCGCGGAAGGACACTGAATAGTTGGATTTAATTGTATGTGTGAAAGAAGCCCAAAATAGAGAAAAATGAAGAAGTTGGCAGAAGCACCTACAGCGAGGAGAAATGTGATGATGGATTAGCAGTTGACTGAATTATCGAAGTGGCAGTATAACGTAGTACGAACATTAATTTAGATATATTTTTGGCGGATCAGAGTCGTGTGGTGCTGGATGAGAAGCCTGACTATTATCACGCATCTTATGTGGATGGATGTACCCAGGTTAATTATCGTTTGTTCTTAATACAAGTCCAGCACGATCAGCTGAAATGAGCAAATACGCAAAAAGGATCTAAACGACTAGGAGTGCGAACCCTTTTATACCCAAATATGAAGATGACGAGATTCTGGTTTTCTGTAAAAGCGAGTGGGCAATAATACATAAGCAGTGGGTATCACTGGATCTCGTTAAAGAGTGATCCTGCAAGCTGCCGTTGAGGTTAGTGTAAGGGAGGTCACTTTCTAACAGAATGGTGAGGATATCGCAGTGAAAGTAAAATCCACTGCGCAGGCATGCTTCTTCTAACACGAGAACATAGCGTATCAATGAATGGCTTAGATGAAAAGGAATCTAAGCCTCGCTCATTCTCGAATTTAAGCCTCGCTCATTCACATTATTCCACATAGTCGTTCGAACAAATCTTTCTACCGCGCCGGGGCCTTTCCTGTGCTCATTCAAAACTGTGTAGGCACCATGCAATAATCCCTTTCATGCATTGTTATTAAAATATGCAGGAGAAGCAGTACATCTTGGCGCAAGCACCATTCGATGATGCAACTGCTGGTGATTTTTTCCGCCTGGTGATGCAGTGCAAGCCAGAGGTGATTGTGGTACTGATGGAATTGGATCCGGAGGACGAATCTCAGTAAATCATGTTGTTTTATTTTCCCAGCGCATAAGAAGTAGCCGTGGTCATCGCTCATCGACCATTTGACATGTGACTTCCTCCCGCTCTTAGTAAGTAGTGCTTGCGCATCTTTTTGTTGCAGATTTCTCGTTCCGCCAAGCTCGAAGCCAAAGAAATACGGTGCGATAACTGTCAAGAGCGAGGACATCAAGAAAGGCAGTTCAAAAGAAGAAAGTGAAAAATTTGGAAGTTTTACGATTGTCCTTACGAAGGGCAAGGATGCGGAAGGAGGAAAAGAAAAGGAGAAGGAGGTGAAAAGTAAAAATGATAAGGACGAGAAAGACAAGCCAGATAAGGAAGAGGAGGGAGAAAAGAAGGATAAGGAGGAAAAAGATAGCGATGACAAAGAAGATAAAGATGGCAAAGATAAAGAGGGTAAAGAGGGGAAAGATAAGGATGATAAAGAGGGAAAGGATAAAGCAGATAAGGAGAAAGATGATAAAGCTAAAGGAAGCAAAGAGAAGGAAGAAAAAACTAAAAATAGCAAAGAAAGTGAAAAAATTAAGGATGGCAAGGAAAAGGACGAAAAAGTTAAAGATGGCAAAGAAAAGGATGAAAAAGCTAAGGATAGCAAAGAAAAAGATGAAAAAGTCAAGGATGTCAAAGAAAAAGATGAAAAAGCTAAGAACAGCAAGGAAAAGGATGAAAAAGTTAAAGATAGCAAGGAAAAGGACGAAAAAGTGGAGCAAAAATATCGGGTGATAGCGTTTAACACATGGGTTGATGATATGGTTGTTCCCAGAGATGATTTCTTCAAATTTCATGAAACGGTAACTTTACTATTTTTCGTTTTCCTACTTGAACTACTTATTAAAGTCTTTGTGTTTCATCAGAAAACATGCACAGGCTACAAAATACAAGAGTAAAAAAGATAAAAAGAGATAAAATGAAAAAAAAAGAAGGTATCCAATGCGATTATGCATTTTGACTATCGGACGCTTCTCGGACGCTTCACATTGGTATTTGCAAAAAACGTTGAAATATCGTCCGTTTCCGAAACTAGGAAATTCCCGTTACGTGCCCGTACGCGAGACGTAATTGTATGTGGAAGACGAATTCAAATTTTTTAAATTTTCGGTAGGCAAGAAACGTTTTCCCAAATTTCGATGCTTGTCTAATTGCTGAGTTGGAAAGCTAGGAAAAAATCCAGGTACACACACATACACACACACACACACAGACGCAGAGCTTCACACTACGCATTTTATATTGCTACGCTAATGCAAAAAATATAAAAAAACGGAAGTTCCTTTCTAAGAAAAGAAAGAGAAGGTAAATCCTGAAGCACTGGATTTTCTCATTTGTGTGGGTTTCTCATTTTTATCAATAATTAGTGGGCAGTACTGTGACAGGCCTTCGGTCTTGTTTGCGCAAACCTCCGGTTAGAGCCCACTACTTGTTCAATGTATATGCAACACTTTTTTGGAAACCAACGTGACACATCAAAAAAACCTCGCAGAAGCGACCGGCGCCTGACCGTCGAACAGTTTTGTGGTACCACAACGAGAAATATGCCACAGTCAGCAATTTAGTCACACACTGGGCAGATGTTGAGGAATGAGACACTGTGACGAATAAGCTAAGGCCAGATTAAAATTGTTAGCGTCTTGGAAGCTCTGACAGCCAACACCTTAACTGCACCCTCCAAGTTATTTTTGGACAAAAACCCCCGAATTAGGCGGTTAAAATGATGTGTTTTAGGTCCACAAAGATTTGAAGGAAAAGCCACGTGAATGCTCGCAGCTTGTTATATGTCCAACAGGAGCACATCGTGCGGGAATTTGGGCAGTGTTCGACACAGAAGCCGAGCGGCTTAAGACCAAAGACCGGATTCGATTCTCAGAAACGGTATGCATCATCTCCGTGGACTTGAAATTGTCTACTGATTGTTACAGCAAAGCCTAGATTTGTTGGACAGATGCGAATGAACGCCTAATATAACCACATTTGGGATGAAAAGAGCTTTTGTGCTGCTAATTTCGGTGTTTTTAGGTGAAAAGCGTTCGAAGCCAAAGATGCAATACGATAGAAGCTTTCGAGCTTTTCGACGCTCTCCTGAACCTTCTTGTGGATTACGCTAAGCTGCACGTCCAAAACAGTACCCAAAAAAATGGCAAATAAAAAGATAACATGATTATACAGTTATGTGATATTCTGAATGTGTCATTGACCCGCTATCCAGTTACAAGACAGTCTGTTATGCTTGTTATGATATTCTCTACACACGTGAATTTGCCATTTCGGCGCACTCAACAAGCATCACTTGCTTCGTAGCAACAGGCTGGAGAACTTTGTTGATTGCTAGCTACGCTGGGTTACAAACGCTTACTCTGTTACCAAGTCTGTTACCTTCTCAATCCCTAGCACTTTCTCTCCTCTTCCACACAGCGGTTGCAGAGGAGAACTAGTGATTGAGAATAAGACCGTGCAGTTGCTCAACAGTGATTGGGACGTTTGCAGAGCTCACTAGCAGGCTGAGAGAAAAATCCCCACCCCAGCCCAGGGCAACGTGCAGTGAGAGCCAGTTTGAAATGTCACTGACACTTTTCGGAGAATTCGAGACCCCGGATATTGCGAGCACTGGCATCTTTGGCCGCCAACAATTCAGGGGAATTTTGTTGGTCACTTTATACACAGCAAAGAGATGGATTCTGTTCGATACATAGACACAAATGACAGTAATACAGAGTAAAGCTGAATTTGCCTATCTCCACATATCAGAATGGACCCTTCTTGGTTATCTATAAGTTCAACTAAACAAATCACTTGACCATTTCCGATAGCTATGTACTATCACTTTTAAAAGTCCATTTCGTTATACAAACTGGAAAGGGATCTCGTAATAAACAGCAACAAGCGCGCTTAGCTTTCTTATATCTGCTAACTGCATTTACTTTTCCCCTTCTATTCTGGCCTATCCAAATTCAGCTTTATGTAATAGTGTGAAGTGAAAATTCAATTTTTTTTTTCATTTTTCTTTTTTTTTGTTTTTTTTTTTTTTTTTTTTTTTTTTTTTTTGTT